CCGCACAGCCAACAAGTTTCTCCTCACGTTGAGCTGGAACTTCCCATGTTCTAACTTACACCCATTATTCCTTGTCCTATCGCTGGGCACCACTGAGCAGAGATTGTCCCCTTCCCCTTGACCCCAACCCCTCAGATATTTCTCTACGTTAATAAATCCCCTCTCAGCCATCTCCTTTCCAGGCTGAACAGTCCCAGGTCTCTCCGTCTCTCTTCCCAGCAGAGATGTTCAGTCCCTTGATCCCCCTCGTAGCTCTCCCTTGGACTCCCTCCAGTAGGTCCCTGTCTCTCTTGAACTGGGGAGCCCAAACCTGGACACAGTATTCTATGTGTGATCTAATCTTTCTGTTGTAAAATTAAGCTGATTTCTGGAGAAATTTTATGTATATATTTGTTTATATTTTTACTGAGTAATTTTTTTTTAAATGTCACAGCTTTATAAACATCTGTAGAACTTTCATGTCATTTTTTTGCAGATTGTGACGGTCCATTTCAAGCAACTCAGCTGTGGAATAGTATTATTCACGCTCTTCACGGTCAAGTAGAAATCAAAAGACGCAGACAACATCTGAAAACATATAAAAACTGTTTCACTGGCTCAAATGCTGTTGATGTGGTACTGAGCCATCTTATGCAGAGCATGTACCTAAGCTGCAATGATATTTCTCGGCTGAAGGGAGTCCGTGTATGCCAAGCGTTGATGGATCACAAAGTGTTTGAGCCAGTTGGAGCAAAGCTTCACTTATTCAAGAATGAGAAAGAAACAGAGTTTGAAGACTCAAACACTAGTCTCTATAGATTTGTAAACAGCAGCCTTATTCCTCTTCTACCAAGAAGGAATCAAGACAATGAGATCTTGTCTCCCGAGGAAATCTGCAAACAGAAGACAAAAAGACGTTCCAAGTGAGTTAGTCTGAACTACTGAACTTTTTGGGTTTTTTTTTCAGATTAAAGTGGGTTAACTGTAGATGAGGTTATGTCTGTCCAATCCAGGCATTGGAGACTTGAAAATTACATCCCACTTTTGAGAAATGTCATGCCTAAATCGCAGATGCTTTCTGATATGTCTCGGTAATGCTAAACTGCTTTGATCTGTCCTTTGTTATTTAGAATAGAGTCTTGCACAGTAGCAGAAGCTTTGGGATCATTTTGTTTTGCAGTCAGTTGTGCTGAAATCTGAGAATTAGCATGAATGAGCCACATGCTGGAAACTGGTAAAATAAATGGATCTATAAACAGTATTTGGAATTAATATCCTTACCCTTTCTGCAAAGCAGATGTGGATGATCAGTTTTCTAGCAGCAGGATACAATGAAGTCCTGATCTAACAGTAATTTAGGAAGTGACAGACTGAGAACTGTATCCTGACTGTGTTTGTTACACGTCTAATTTTCTTTTTCACCCTAAGCAGAACGAAATGTGAAACAACACTTTCAAACCCCTTAGCATTAGAAGCAGCCGATAAAAAAGGGGTAGAGGAGCTTCTTCAATCAATAAACGTTCACACGTCTTTACCTCCAAAGATCACGGTTAATGAACCAGGTCATCTGCTTTCAAAAATAGGTAAAGATTGAATTTTTCTTCTTAAAACCTGACTTCTTCACCATATCTGCTTGGAGTGAGTACCTCATTTCTGTTAAACACTGTCCTGCAGAATCCTGAATTTAAAGGATTGCTACATAGGTAAATACTCCTAGTAAGTCAACTGAAGGAAAGAAAACAGGATTAAGTTTTTGCAGGGTGGTGCTATTGTTTTTGCAAATACCTCTTCAGAAGAAAATAGTTTTTAAGAATACATCCATATTATACGATTCCTTTGCTATTCGGTTGTCTTTTCTTGTTTGTATTACTAATTACAGTAGATTATTACTAATTCTAATATGATGGGAGAGAGAGATGTTCTCTTTAAAGCCTTCATTCTTAGCATTCCCATTTTGATCCCTTCTTCCCCAACACAGAAACTTCACACTGTGCCTTTGTAAAAACAAAACTTAGTGTTTTGCACAAGATCTTACATCTGAGGGTGTTTGTTTGTTTGTGTTATCAGTGGTAGAAGATGTCTGGAAACAGCAAACTCTGCTACGACTGCTACAGTTAATTGATGTTCCACTTCTAGAAGATATCTTGGTGTCTTCAGTGAAGACAAAACCAGACTGTTTTGGCAAAGAAGAAGACCTGATTATACCAAATACTTTCCTGGACAGAGAGGTTGCATGTAGCTTAAACTTGCCTGAGTAAGTTATATTTCTATAAAATGGATTTATTAGTAAATGCGTTATTGTACTGTCGATTGAATATTTGTGTTAAGTGAACAAAATAGACATTGTTACATTTACAGGCTTGTAGACAACGGTGTCATTAATCTACTCTCCTCTGTTGACTTCTTTTCAGAAGTGGTAAGGGAAGTCACAAAAAGTGTAAGTTTAGGGTTGGACATATGAGGATTGTAAGTATACATTAAAACATTAACCTCAAGTGTTGAAAACACTCCCTAGTTTCTAGACTAGACACTTCCTTCTTAGGTCTCTGTAACAAATACTAAAAAAAAATTATTCTGAGGCATTTTGGTTATTTGTTACAGTTCTTGGTGGTGGTGCTGTGAAGATTATATAGTCAATATATTGTTAGCAACAAAATAAGAAGGTAAGCTGTGGCACTGAAGAATGCTTAAACTGGGAGAACATAAAAGTGAATCTGGCTGCATGTCATCAGTGTTCACAGAATCACAGGATGTCAGGGGTTG